CGCACAAGGTCAGCTCATTGGACCCCAAACATCTTCTAAGGGACTGCCTCAAGGCTCCCTCCTGAGCACAGTAGTATTTAATATATACACAAATCAATTACTATAAATTTTACCTAAAAAAATTATTATGATGGCGTACGCAGACGATATCGCTTTATTCACCAAAGGGAAAAACATAGGACAAATGTTTGGGAAAATTAATGATGTCTCATCACACAATGGCCAAGGGCCAACAGCTTAACACTATCAACACACAAATGCCAATCAATCTTATTTACTAAAGGAAAAAAAAGATCTATTTACCCACCAGTCATCATTCAGGGGAAAAATATTCAATACTCTGAATCTATAAAATATCTAGGGATGATAGACAACTCACTCAATTGGAACAAGCACATTGAATATATATCACAAAAGGCAAAAAAAGGGATAAATATAATGAAGACTTTTGGTAGTCTGGTGGGGAGCCGATCCGCACACCATGTCCAATATATACACAAGAATGGTAATGTCACATATTGAGTACGGATCTTTCAAAACCTGTACAATCACCCCTTAATACCAATATTAAAAGCTTTTAAAATTCACCATATGCTCAATGCTGACTATTGGAGAAGAAAAGGCATTCCTCATCTGGTTGGAGCACTGGACTACTACTTTCCATACAGAAACAGTATGGAAAAATTAGACAAGCTGCCTTGCTATGATGTGGAACTTGGAACCCAACTGAAAAAAATAAAAATATTGAACCTAAACCTGAAAAAAGATGACCAATTTGTCAACACCTTATTCCTCAATAACACTGAGAAATATCAAAAGGAATACATCTTCATTTATACGGACGGATCTAAAAAAGACAACGAAACAGGGTATGGTATACACTGCCCAGGGTATGGCATACACTACCCAGATATGGGCAGATATACCTTGCAAACTAAGACATTAATAATAACGGCAAATGAAATGGGCTATGACATCAAACTATCCTGGATCCCGGGGCATGCAAACATAACTGGCAACGAAATGGCAGACAAACTGGCATACATAGGCAGAAACTTAACGATACCAAAAAATATACCTTTAAACAAAAACCACACGATGGTTGCAATAAGGAAAAAGATAAGGAAGGAACATGATTTGGCATGGAAGGAATCTCTGAAGCAGAAGGGCAGATGGTATCGCCAAATACAAAACAGCTTCCCAAAGGTAGCATGGTACAAGTCATTCCCATTTGTCGACCGAAGACATATTACAATCATAACTCGAACGAGAACCGGACACTGTTTAACAGGAAAATATCTCCACATAATGGGAGTTAGAGAAACGCCAAACTTGCGGGCAAATTGATGACCTCAACCACACTTTCTTTGAATGTCCTATCAATCAAATTCCCAATCGTGATCTTTATAATAGCCTCATAAAGGAAAATATAAAAGCCCCACTCTCTATAGCCACGGTATTAAGGAAACTGAGTCCAAACAATAAAACTAATAATTCAATTCCTCAGTCATAATTGCATAAAACTATGAAAACAAAATCCCAAGTCATGTCGTTCACCGTCCACCACACAAGGAAGCAGCAGACAAACTTTCAAGCACTACATCGCCACAATAATCACAAATTATACACAAAAATAGGCCGATAATAATCTTGATTTTCCTTTCAGATCAGAAATCCCTATTGTGTTGTCATCCTGTGATGTATTTGTCTTATTAACCTACTCACCACTGAAGAAAGAAGAAGTAGTACAGAACTCAGTTCATCGTGAAATTATATACATTACAGTTATATATCTTGTCTTAAAAAACAAAAAGTTCAAATTAATGTGCCCTTCAGGGAGCAGAAGACAAAATTAAAGAAGAAATGGATGCAAATAAACTCGGTGCGCACTGAATCTACCAATCGGAAACGCCAATAAATGGACATCAAAAAATGCAACTTTTTTCTAATTTAATCGATTTTATAGCGTAGCCACAGCCTCCTATAGTTAACAAGCCATGAAATTGGAAATGACGGCAACGTCGCGTATGGTGCTATTTTGTTATTGGGTTATGTGTTTCTGTGTATTGCTTTCATTGTGTATTGTTGCAATTTAGTATTTTTATGGGCATTATTGACGAAAAAGTGGATAGAAACACACCAATATATTGCCCATATTTAGTTGATACCTGTTCCTTTGTGCTTTGATTGCAAATTTTAAGCAAATGGGTACAGGAGCAAAAATGAAGGTAAGGTAAGGTAAAACAATAAAAACAATATTATTATTTGTCTGCAAGAGCATAGGTCTCGATATATTACCTAAGATATTTAAACTTGTTCCAGATGCCATGAAACTACTGTGTTCCTGGGTGCAAATCGAACTATTAGGAGTTCCTTAAAAACTTAAGAAATGCAAACATTTGTATTTCCAAAAAAATTCTGAAGTGCAAAAAATGTGGATGAAAGCAATACACCAAGATAATTATACCCGAGATTATACAATAACGAAAAATTCTGTGGTGTGTTGTAAACATTTTGAAGAAACCGAAATAATTAGATTTGAAACAAACAAGGATAAAGGCGTAGTTCGAGAGTTCAAACTAAAACGTCCAACTCTTAAAAGTAGGTACCTCTTATTTTCGAAAATCAGCTCAAGTATTTGAATGGACTTGCCTTCCGAAAAAATCCCGAAGAAAGAAAAAGTTAGATTTTCAAAAGACATACTGAAACATAGGCCTATAACACTTTAGACTCTAGAAATATATTCATTTAAATCAATTATTTACTGTTCTTATTTACACAAATAGTTAAATTATTCATTGAATTACTGTTTTTGGCCCTTTAGTACAATAAATTATGTATTTTTTGTGATTCATATTAATAAAATAAAAAATATATATTTATACAAACAAACACCACCAGCACCACTTGGCGGTAAGATTGCGGTGTTGCCTTTTTAACTTCATGGCTTGTTAAATGTAGGGGGCTGTGGCGTAGCTCTTACCGTTTCGGATATAGCAATAGTGGTATCACTTAAAATATGTATACACCCTGTATATAATATGTTAATGTTTCTTTCAATAGTTTCGAAAATATGAGTTTAGTTATTCAAAGACAGTAGTTTTTTTGAATATATTTTACCTTGATTTACCTGTCACAAAACATTCTGTTACCTGAATAGGTCTTTGAAAAAACACTCAGATATTTCCAAAACTATTCGAAGAAACATTACCATATTATACAGGGTGTGTCAAGAACATCGAAACAGAGACGTTTTGGGGTATTTTAAGATCGATTTAAAAAAAAAAAACGTTCGGACACGTCAATTTTGTATTTGTTTCCCTCTTGAATACAAAATTGACGTATCCGCGCGTTTTTTTAAATCGACTTTAAAATACCCCAAAACGCCTCTGTTTCGATGTTCGTGAAACGTGAAACACCCACTGATCTTAAAAATAAATGGATAAACAAAGAACGCTTCTAATGCTGCTAATTTACGAGGTCATAATGTAAACAACAGACAGCTGTGAGCGTGCGCAGTGGATAAATGTACAGTGCGTGTGCAAAATATAGCCAACGAAAATGAGGGAATTGGAGGATATTCCAAAATTTAGAACAGTTGCTCGAAAGATAATGTATGGAAACATATTGTACACTTTTCTGTCTGTCTCTGACATTCACTCTGATGCGACAGTGACAAACTAGTATCTCCCGTGTCAATTGATATAACAAACATAAATGAGTGGGAATGGGGTACTTTGCGCACGCTCGGAGAAAACCTACTATCGTTCGACTGTGAGAATGGAGATGTTTTGCATACCTACAGCCATAAAAAAATTGCACCTTTTTTTAACGGAACTTTAATTTTATACATACTTACAAATATTATAATATCTATTATCTATAACTTACCTGCATTGTTTCACTTTGTAAGTTGGAAGCTTGAAAAATTGAGAGGGTGTTCCAAAAAGTTATGAAGCTGACTACCTATGTCATTTCATTTATTAGTGAAATATTAATATTAAAGTAATTTATGTCCGATTGACCAATAAAGTGCTATTTATAGAACAGTTTTGCGTCAATAAAGTAGCACTTTATTGTACTAGTAAAATAAAGTGCTACTTTATTTTACTAGCAAAATGAAGTGCTCCTTTATTGCCTACCTAGACTACCTTACAAGATAAAACAGGTCCTGAGAACCTGCCAAGGTGAAACAGGTCTTGACAACCTGCCAAGGTGATACAGGTATACCTACGTGAATTTTACTTTTTTCATTACATTTTTTTAATTTTTAACAAAAACCAGTGGCAATCGTACATCATGTATATAACGCTTACATAAACAGGCTTTATTGACTCATTATTTAATAGCCTCGCTCGCAAGCTCGCTCGGCCATAAAATTATTCGTACAATAAAGCCTTACTTGATGTACTTGTTATATAAATAGCTATTTCTTGAATGCTTTCAATGCGTTCATAACATTTTCTATGGGTCACTGAAGGTTCCGACCAATCAAAAGCTGCAATAACTTTTTTTTAAAGTAAAGCTAGTGCAACATCTTTGAACAAGCGAGACAGACCAGCCATTGATTCTTTTTGACTTGTTGTAACACTAGTCTATAGTTACTTTGCGGAGAATAAAATCACAAAAAACATACCAATCTGACGTAAGGTTGTGCAGCTTTGCCAGCTTGAAAGAAATTGTGATATTTTCTGACTTGCATTTTTAATAACCAATTAAGGTTCGATCGTAAATAATCAACCCTTACGCTCCTAAAATAATTCTACACTTGATTGGAACACCCTGTGTGTGCATGTGCGTTATTACAAAGACAAAACAAAGCGTGTTTCAAATACATAGTAAAAAAATATGTACATATTTTCTATTTAAAAAAAATATTATTGCCAAAAATGCAACTTTTGCGCTAAAAGCCTTAGTATAAAAATATACTATAAACATCTGCTTAGTAAGCTGTCGTTTACTACTACCCCCATTCAAAGTGCCCCCAAACAAAAACTAACCAGTAAGTGCTAAATAGAGGGAGAGAGAGCAGCATCATGCAACGCGCCGGTACTTGCGCTATACCTCTCGCTCAATCAGCTTCTCCACCACTTCCACTGTACGCACTCTCCGTTCACCAGTGGCCTCGTCTACGTACTCTTCAGTTTTTCTTGTAACAGTTTCACCCAGAATTTTCTCGGTTTCTCGCACGGTCCGTGCACCGTTTGGAGTTTCTCTAACGGCCAATCGCGGAAAATCGGCCGAAGAAGGTCGAAGTGCAGGCGATCCGTCTTGTTCGTCGATAGATGATGGTGGGGGAGATGGCGTCAGCATGCTGTTAGTTTTGGAGTCAGCGTGGACGCCTTGTAACTATGCGTCCAGAATGTGTTAGTTACGTAAGTCAGTACATGCGAGTATGACATAATGTACTTATAAAAAGTTTTGATTAAATGACTAGAAGTACTCGTAAACCTTAACCAATAAATAATAAGAACTAAAATAATCGTTTGTTAAATTAGGTTATACTTAAGAATGCTTAAGTTATTATTATTATTTCAATTATGATAATGTCTTTATGACCATTAGGACTTGACTTAACTGGCGGGTAAAAATTAACTCATTAAACATTTTAGTATAATATGGACAAAATGATGTCAATTTATTAATATATTTCAGCTCTTTTCTTCCCACCATTTCTTTCCTGCGATGGTTCGGCTAATAAATCCCTATCAAAGATAAAATGTTATTCAAATAAAAACAAAAATACAAATGGAGAAGTCTTTACTAGGTTTATCCAAAATTATCGTCTCAACAAATCTTAGCCCTTTTACTTTCGCTTACAAACTAACAACTACATATTTATTAACAGTGGTTCAGGTTCATTAGAGTTTTTAAAGAGACCGAAGATGACTAAATTTTAAGTTTGGGTTGTCTTTGGTTTGGATTAGGAGACTCAACATCTGGCTGTTAGAAACAAATAAGTTGGTGGCCTGATGAAGACGCTTTGCTTTATTTAAAACCATTTTGATGCTCTAGAATAGACTAAACACTCTTTTTATTTTTATAATTCTTAAGAACCATGGAGACAAAAAATTCACAAAGAAAAAATAATAAATAAAAATATACATATGACGGAATAAAAATACAAGAAAAAAAATTGATCCAGTAAATTTCACACCAGTGAAGTTCTAGGTTTAAAAATTACTGTGAATCTCGAAATTGAGCAATCCCAATAAAAGACATCATTAAAATTTGATCTTAAGACTTATATCTGGAGAGCTAGATTACGGCTTAAAATTTGTTGTGATATTTGAATATATTTTAAAATATAATTTACCAAAAATATTTTTCAAGTATAAAGGTCCCTATCTGAAAAATGAGCAGTTCTATGAAAAAATATAAAAAATAATGAAAGTTAGTACCTAATCACATGCGACAAGTAAAATGCTTATTAAGAATTGGAAACCTGAAATAGTCATAAAGAGCTAGTTTAGAATCTAAATAAGGGCAATACGAGTAACAACTTGTGCTAAATTATTATCAAAATAGTTTCTAGTCATGAAGTCATGTAATCATACCTCAGTTCTGCCATCTACTACTTCAGCAACGGAGCTGTGCTTTGGATTTTCATTTGCCCCCACCATATCGGTCATGGATTTTATCACCATCTGAGCTTGGATTGCGTCTTGTTCCAAAGACTATAAAAAAAAACATTTCTCTTTTCAATAATAAAAAGTCAGTTTTGTCACTGCTGCTTTTTCAGCCACTTTATCAGTTAAAATAACTACGTCTATGAAAAGAGTTTTGAAATCGCACCTTAAGTCTAGCTGCTCTCCAGGCTGCTCTTTTTTCAGCTCGTAGGGTTCTTTCCTGGGCTGGAGACAAGTTAGCATCATCTTCATCAGTAAGAAGACCCTCTTCCTTTAGCTTATCACGGAATCTTCGCTCTGCCTTCGCTGTTCTCACTATACCAATAGTGCTTGAGGGACGACTAAAAAATTTTTTTGTTAGTTATGAGGTGAAACAAAATTGAATCATTTTACCTTCTGGGTTGAGATTCAATTGATTCATTATCTGATGGACTTAAGTCATTAATGGAATTCACTTCGGCCGAAGATAGATTTGCAATTTTTCGATCTTCCTCGGCTCTGAGATTGTTTATTTCGTCAGGACTCAAATAGCTGAATATTTTTTCTGAAAAAAAAAAGTTTCAATATACAGGCTCAGAAACGATAGGTTCTCACAGAAATCAGTCAGAGCGTTTTTGATTGGTGCAAATTGCCAACAACAGTTTTCTGACTACAGCCAATGAAATATGCTCAGACTAGTTTGTGATTTCTGTGAGAACAGACCCAATATTCTAATTCGTATCTATTGTGTACTTAGCATGAGTTGATTATTATTTATATGTATAATATTATCCTCTTAGCTTGTAAGTCTTAGTAATCAACCATGCAAGGACCTTTTTTTCCAGTTATACATGTAAACCCCATACTTTGTGAGTGGCTTGCTTACATCAAGTCCGACAACTTTTTCCTCTACGACTTTTCTCGGAAATGGCACGTATGCGCGCAGGCGACTCGCAAAAATGTCGATCTGACGTATAATGTTTGATTTTTATATCTAAATCACGGAAATCAACTTGGCCGACAAAAATAATGGCAAATTGAGGGAGTCCGATACCCCCAAAATGTCGATCTGACGAGGTTATGTTTCTTGATACATGTAAATCTAATTTTACGAATAATGTTTGATTTTTATGTCCAAATCACGTAAATCAACTTGGCCGACAAAAATAATGGCAAATGTCGATCTGACGAGGTTATGTTTCTTGATACATGTAAATCTAATTTTCCGAATAATGTTTCATTTTTATGTCTAAATCACGGAAATCAACTTGGCCGACAAAAAAAATGGCAAATTGGGGGAGTCCGATACCCTCAAAATGTCGATCTGACGAGGTTATGTTTCCTGATACATGTAAGTCTCATTAAATTTTTTTTCGATCTTAAATTAGCTCTATATTGTAAATAAATGTGTGTCCGACAAAAAATATGGCAAAAATTTGCAAAAAATAATACATAATCGAAAAAATATTAACAGCAAAGATACATTTTATTGTAATCGGTAGTTAATGTACTATAGACTACTTTAACTTGTGAAAAATATTGAAAAATTTAAAAATTATTAAAAATAAAATTCTTTATCTGATAATTTATACCTAAGCTACTTCATTCCATTTTAATTTACCAGTATTGCCAACTGCTCTTTGCAAAATTAGTGGCACGGAATTCCATCTTTACTGGCAAATACAAAATGTCGAATTGACCTTTTGTTTTGACGCCATATTGCGGTGCGCGAACATAGTTGCCAAAACAAGAAAACCAAAAATTACTAGCGGGCTGTCAACTAGATATTTTATTATTTCTATTCTGCCCAATACAAGTTAAAATTGATGGTTTTTCTTTCCAAAAACATTCGTAATAGGCGGTAAATTTAAATTTTAAATGTAATTTATTCATTAACTTTGGATTTTAAAATTGACAGAACGCTAATAAATTTTTTTTCTACTGTTGGCAACTATGTTCGCGCACCGCAATATGGCGTCCAAACAAAAGGTCAATTGAGGGAGGCCCTATTTTTAGGCGATTTCAAGTCAGACACAATTCTTGACTCCTTTTGTATTAACATTTTCAAATCAGAAATGATGACGTCAAGTTTCAAGACATTAGGTGCGTACGATAAGTCCAACTACTGACACTTTTTACCCTGACCCGTCATTAATGTTGCACTTTTTACACCATTCGTACCGTTTAGCGTTCTATTTTCCCAGAGTAGTTTAGATGGTTGCGTTCCAAAACATAACTGCACCACACTAATGCTAACCGGTTCAGACAAATCGTACGCACCAATTGGCTTAAGGGTCAAATTATGGACCAACTGGTAAATGTCTGGTTGTTACCTAGCAGGTACTTTCTATTCTCTAGTGCATAAGACAGTACCTGCTAGGTAACAACCAGACACTTACCGGTCAGTCCATAATTTGGCCCTAAGCATGGGTCACTCTCTCTAGTTACCAGAATTTGAATTTGTGTTCATCTTATCCTGAATCTTCAAAAATTGTCATTCAAATCAGCATGAGCATGCAATATAAAGTGATCATTATACAATATATAAGGCGGTTTCTTTTTCGCATCAATCTATCCAACATTATCAGTCAGTTATTCCAAATTCTTCTTCTTCTAGTCCTAATTTTATTTCCTGTCGGACTTGTCGGACAAGACTAATTTAGCATTCAGAAAACATTATTTGATCTAAACTTACTTTTGTCCGACATATTTGTATCAGGAAACATAACCTCGTCAGATCGACATTTTGGGGGTATCGGACTCCCCTAATTTGCCATTATTTTTGTCGGCCAAGTTGACTTTTGTGATTTAGACATGAAAATCAAACATTATTCATAAAATTAGATTTACATGTATCAAGAAACATAACCTCGTCAGATCGACATTTTGGGGGTGTCGGACTCCCTCAATTTGCCATTATTTTTGTCGGCCAAGTTGATTTCCGTGATTTAGATATAAAAATCAAACATTATTCGTAAAATTAGATTTACATGTACAGGAAACACAGCTACGTCAGATCGACATGTTTGTGAGTCGCCTGCGCGCATACGTGCCATTTCCGAGAAAAGTCGTAGAGAAAAAAGTTGTGATGATGTAAGCAAGCCACTCACAAAGTATGGGGTTTACATGTATAACCGAAAAAAAAGGTCCTTCCTTGGATGGTTGATTATAGATATAGTACGCTATTTCATGAGATTTATTTCTTGACAATTGAGTCACTTTCTTTCTTACCTTTCTTGGAAGGTTTTTGACTTTCCTCCATCGCATTTTCAAAAAACTTCTTTCGGTCGCTCACCGACTGTTTTACAACATGGCTTTTTGGACTTTGTGGGGGCTGAAAATTTAATCAAAACCATTTCATTTTTTTTTTAGAATGATCCTACTAAATTAAAATAATTAGTAAATTTCCTATGATGAACTTTTCATTTCACTACGTCAATTTTAATTGTAGACGTTGCGTGCTTTTGCTTAAAGGCTGCTTGTGTTATTGATTGGTGGCGTAATTTGAAAATAATCAGGAATCTTGAATTATTTTTTCAAGTTTGATTAAGTTGAGGTGCTTTTTGAGGTCTAGTTGGTTTCCCAATGGTTCAAGCCTGACTATTTTTATTCCCCTGATATGATACACATGACACGTTACCAATAGGATTTTTAAAATGACAGAGGAACAAAAATAGCTGAAAAATGTCTAGTAGAGTTAACATCCCAAGAGTATCTCTAAAACTGTCTTACAGATGAATCCAATTATATAGTTTTAAAAGTGAATTGAAAAATCTATAATAACAACTTAAAGCTAATAAGATATTCAAATTATCAAAATTTCCATAACTAAATCATTACCTTACTAAATATGTTGTACATTGAGGTCGTCGTCGTGCTACCAAACTCACTACTAGTACTTATAGCTACCGACAGAGGTCGTTTATATTCAATTTCATCCATACTTTTCCTAAGAGAGTTGTAATAATCCGGATCGCAATTCAGCAACGTCTCCTCGCTACGAAACGTGCGCAAAGGTGGCTTGGCAGGTACAGGGGGAGGCTTGGTTTTTGGTTTTACGATTATTTTTTTACTTCTTGGTGTTAGTGGGGGCGGAGGGGATATCGGCAAAGGTGGGGGTTCATCACTAGTTGGTGATAATAAATTTAAAACTGGATTTTGAGACTTCGATGTGGCCATATTTAAAGGTTTTGTAGTGGTTTCGTATTCAATAGGCGGAGGAGGTGGTACTTTTATTATATCATCGTCAGTTAACAATGCAGTTTCATCAGGTGGAGGCGGAGATACGGGACTATTGAAAATGGAGTTTATTTCCGGAATGGGAGGTGAAAATATATGTGGGAGAGTTTGCATAGGTATTGGCGAAAATGTATTGATAGAAGACAGCGTATGTGGATAACCATAAGGGTGAAAAGCAGAAGTTGGGAATTGATTGTACACATTAATGGTTGGTTGTGGCCAAGGGCTGGCAATATTTGGTATATGAGCTACTGAATTATCAGAATATCTAAATATTGAATTAGTATTACTACAAGGATCATAAATACCAGTTGGTGGCTCATTATTATTAGTTTGCTGATTAACTGTATAAGTTAGAGGCGGAGGTATGAGAGGCTCTACAGGATCTATATTCGCCAATTGATTTTCAGGTTTTTCGAATGGTATTTCTTCAGATAATAAAGACTCAACACTATGAGATCTCTTATTAGAAAGGGGTGGACTAGAAGTTTCAGTAAATATGGTATTAAGAGATTCAGTCGACATTGATCTAATTTGATTTATAGTTTTATTATTTAACGTCCCACTTTCGACTTCATTTTCTGGTTTAGAGGACTTTGGAAGGGTTGCTGCAAATTCCTGCAGAAAAATATTTAGGTTTTTTAAAAAATATGTTTAATAGACACAAATAAACCCGATACCGCAGCACTAAACAAACAAAAAATGGACAAAAACAATAGGCAAGTGTGTTTATACCAAAAATATATTTGCCATCAAAAATCACATGGAATATTGGTTAGTTTTGTCGTCCAGACTTGACATTATTACCTTGTCAAATTACATAAAATAAATACCTAAGGTTAATAATTTTTACCATTAACATCAAATATAAAAATTCTGTTTATTCTACTGGACTGATATAATAATTAATAAAACACCTGATGTAATAAATATAATATGCAACATAATAAACTATATTATTAAAACTATACTTTCTGAGTGTTTTATTTCAATAGTTTTATAACCTACGAATTAATACATACAATTAAAATTTTTTAATAAATTCATTGAGAAAGTGATGATCTTAACGGGTTTTATAGCTATTTTGAATTTTCAGAATTGTTTTTGATGTGTAGGTATGTATTAATTGCAGGATTTGAACGCCATTCAATTAAACTTTTCTCTAAAGTCAACATTTGGCATAATTTTTTATACATTTTTAACAACGAAACGATTTTATGCTTGTTTCAGGAGATCTTTTATAGTTCAAGTCTAAATATTAAAACATTGAAAATGACAACGTAAGATTTTTGTTTCTACCATAGTGTTCCAAGAATTGAATACTTACATAACTCTTATGTAATCCATATAACACATTATAATAAATTTATTTACTTATAGATATCTGGCGGTAATTATTATAAAAGGTGAGTAAATAGAAAAAATAAAAGATAAAACGACAAAGGAAATTAAGGCTTTGACTTCATCGATAGGCTGTAAGCTTCGCCGGCCACTTACACCTTTTAATTTGTGCTTTTTCTCGAAAGAAACTGCCTGCATTGACATGCAGAACGTTCTCGAAATATTTATTTTAAAAAAGTTACTTTTGAAAAAATATCAACACATAATTCCATAATGGAACCGTGAACCTATTATCCCTTTACGAAAGCTTTTATCTTCAAAATTACCTCCGTAACTTACTCATGATGTACTACTTGAAGGATCACCCTAGCATGGTACTTAAGCCAATAATATAATATTTATTACACTATCTATCTCTGCAAATATTACTTAAGACATTTCTACTTTGAGAAATATTTTTGTTAAACTCCTAATGGAAAAATCAGTCCTTGGAACATTTTCAATCTATGGTTGAAACAAATTAATAAAAAACATGTAAAATGTAAACTTATATAAATACCAAAATGATATTGGGATCATGCAAAACATGGGATTAAGTATTTATTATGTATTATGTTATTGTAATATTGCAATGTTTAGGGCTTCTATGCGAGTAAAGTCAATCACTGGCATTTGATTGTCAAAATTATAAGGATATTTTTTTAGAAAAGCTGATCACCGCAAAAACATATAACACACATAGAAGCTGTTCTAAAATTATTTATAACATTGTATCCCATGACTGCTTGTCACCATTCACTTCAAGTTATAGCTCTCAAAAAGGCACCATATATCGCACATCCCGAAGAAAAGTGTAATAACACAAAAAATTCTAAAAATCAGTTTATTTTATGAATAACTAGTAAAAACAATAATTCATCTCCCAGGAAAACTGTAACAAAGATAATCCCAATTGTTTTGGATAGATGGCGCGGAGATCTCTTTTCCTCGGAACGCGTTTGGCATTGATTTCCCCAGAAAACAGTGCTATTGTGAATTGTAACAGGTTAATTCGTGTCGCTCTCGCAGAAAAGTGTAACATTTGTAGTTATTACAATTTCGTTTGAAAGACTAATAAATATAAGTTTGCTTTTTCCCCGGAACAGTGTAACATCTGTAGTTATTACGATATTGTTTGAAATAATGTTCAATTTCTCCCTGGAACAGTGCAACATTTGTAGTTAGATCTCATTTCTTCGAAAATACAAATTTATTTTTGCAACTATTTCCGAGAAAAAGTGTACTATTTTGTGTTATTACGGTTTTCCAAGGAACATTTTAGATAATATAATAAATGATTCAAGTGTTATTGTACTATTTGTAGTTGAAACAGTTTTCTTCAGAAATCTAGTGTACCACTCGCGATTTGTGTCGGTTGAACTTTGCATCATTCGGTGTTGATACGGTTTTCTTCGGACATTGCAAGCATAAACCAATTATTATTGCATCAAGTTAAGGATAATATTTGGACGTATTACGCCAATATTCCAATTTGAATATTTTATTAAAGGAGGTGAGTTTTTTATTTATTTACTTATTTAACTAATATGCAGGATATAGAGGTTATCAAATGTTTCGTAAAAGATGCCTACCAATTAAAAATATAAATTTGCAAGTAGCCAAAGTTCTGTTAACATACAAATTCCAGTAGCTTCTGCAGATTTTACTTTTTGTTTAGTTTGAAATTTTCGATATCTATTTCTTGCATGGCTATTCGCTAGAAAGCCACCATAATTTTTATAATTTTTTTAATTACCTATCTAAATCTATTATGACGTATGTCCTTTAAATCAGTGCATGCTTTTGTTACAGATAATGATGTCAAGGGGTAAACGAATGGTACTTGCGGTTCTTGAATCTGAAAATAGGAAGGAAGAGGCGAGGAAAGAGGTTGACAGAAATGTTAGTACCCTTGAACCAAATAAATACCTTTTCGAGGGTACTGGGAATGTTTGTAATAGTACATTAACTAACAAGGAGAATAAACCAGTCGAGAATCATCCCAAAATAAGCGAGCTTCCTCAACCTTCAGGAATTGAAGCTGGAAATAGCAGTAAAGCTGGAAATAGCAATTATCCAGATCAAACAAAGGAAAATGAGGTTTTTGATAATAAAATTGATTATAGCGAAAACGATGATGATAGTGTCAAAGATCCTGATCACGACTCAAGTTCATCATCCTCTTCAAGTTCTGGATCTTCGTCAGACACGTCATCTTCTTCGTCGTCGACTTCTGCAGGATCCAACAATGCTGTAACAATCGCACGCCCTTTAAATGACAGTCCAATTACAACTGCACAAGACGATCAAGAGGAAGCTGAAAATGTGATTGAAAAAGATGCAGAAAACAAAGAAATCGAAAACCATCTCAAAATAAGCGATCTTCCTCAATGTTCAGAAAATGAAGCTGGAAATAGCAATATAGCTGGAAATAGCAATTATCCAGATCAAACAAAGGAAAATGAGGTTTTTGATAATGAAATTGATTATAGCGAAGACGATGATGATAGTGTCAAAGATCCTGATTACGACTCAAGTTCATTATCCTCTTCAAGTTCTGGATCTTCGTCAAACACGCCATCTTCTTCGTCGTCGACTTCTGCAGGATCCAACAATGCTGTAACAATCGCACGCCCTTTAAATGACAGTCCAATTACAACTGCGCAAGACGATCAAGAGGAAGCTGAAAATGTGATTGAAAAAGATGCAGAAAGT